TTCACCCTTCCTAGCAAATCGTTGTTCGGCTATGTTACCACTTTTGCTCAGCCCATCTTATAGCGTTGTTAGTTGCAGGTGAAGTTGAAGATTGCTCCATGATGGACAGGATTATGTTAGGATATCACAATATCTCTTATTTAATTAATGCATCTATATACTTGGTAAAGGGTGGAAGACTCGGCCGTATGCCTGGTGTTTTGTTCCACTCTTGCCGCCCTAGTTTCCGTCATACCGGTGTTATGTTCCTTGATTTTGCGTTCCTTACACGGTTGGGTGATTTATGGGACCCTCTTGACAGTTCGCTTTGAATAAAACTCCTCCAGCAAGGCCCAACATTGATTTTAACATTTGCCACCTAAGCCTTTTTCCCTTGGGTTCTGCAGACTCAAGGGTCATCTTTATTTTACCCCCCCCCCCAGGCCAGTGCTCCTCTGAGTGTTGGTCCGAACTAGAGCCACTTGCAGCGCCACCTCGGGGAAACTTGAGGTCTGGTTTTAGTTGTACGTAGTGTTCATCTGGTGTGCCCTGAGAACGAGATATGTGCAGCTCCTATCGGGATTTGTCGGCACATCGGGCGGCTTTGCTGGTCTTTTTTACCATTGTCGAAATGTCTTGTAAACCGGGATTCCGAGTCTGATCGGGTCTTCCTGGGAGAAGGAATATCCTTCGTTGACCGTGAGAGCTTGTGATGGGCTAAGTTGGGACACCCCTGCAGGGTATAAACTTTCGAGAGCCGTGCCCGTGGTTATGTGGCAGATGGGAATTTGTTAATGTCCGGTTGTAGATTACTTGACACCAGATCCAAATTAAAACGCATCAACCGCGTGTGTAGCCGTGATGGTCTCTTTTCGGTGGAGTCCGGGAAGTGAACACGGTTTTGGGTTATGTTTGACGTAAGTACGAGTTCAAGATCACTTCTTGATCATTGCTAGTTCACGACCGTTCCTTTTGCTCTCTTCTCGCTCTTATTTGCGTATGTTAGCCACCATATATGCTTAGTCGCAGCTGCAACCTCACCACTTTACCCCTTTCCCACCCATAAGCTTAAATAGTCTTGATCTCGTGGGTTTTGAGATTGCTGAGTCCTCGTGACTCACCAGATACTATCACAACAGTTGCAGGTGCTGATGATACCAGTGCAGGCGATGCAACCGAGCTCAGATGGGAGCTCAACGAAGATCTTAGTTGTTGCTATGTTTTGTTTCTTGTTGATCAGTAGTGGAGGCCAGTTGGGACGATCGGGGATCTAGCAGTTGGGTTATCTTCTTTTCTTTTGGCTCCGTCCGTAGTCTGACAATGTGTGTACTCTGAATGATGTATGAATTATATGTTCATTGTGTGAAGTGGCGATTGTAAGCCAACTCTTTATCCCATTCTTGTTCATTACATGGGATTGTGTGAAGATGACCCTTCTTGCGACAAAACCACAATGCAGTTATGCCTCTAAGTCGTGCTTCAACACGTGGGAGATATAGCCGCATCATGGGTGTTACAGCAGCACAAGAAGCAATCTGGTTGAAGGAGTTCATCACCGACCTAGGAGTTATTCCCATTGTGTCGGGGCCGATCACTCTCTTCTGTGACAACACTGGAGCTATTGCCCTTGCCAAGGAGCCCAAGTTTCACAAGAAGACCAGGCAAATCAAGCGTCGCTTCAACTCCATGCGTGAAAATGTTCAAGATGGAGACATAGATATTTGCAAAGTGCATACGGATCTGAATGTCGCAGGTCCGTTGACTAAACCTCTTCCGCGAGCAAAACTTGATCAACACCAGAACTCTATGGGTGTTTGATTCATCATAGTGTAACTAGATTATTGACTCTAGTGCAAGTGGGAGACTGTTTTGGAAATATGCCCTAGAGGCAATAATAAAATGATTATTATTATATTTCCTTGTTCATGATAATTGTCTATTATTCATGCTATAATTGTATGAACCGGAAACAGTGATACATGTGTGAATTCATAGACCACAACATGTCCCTAGTGAGCCTCTAGTTGACTAGCTCGTTGATCAACAGATGGTCATGGTTTCCTGACTATGGACAATGGATGTCATTGATAACGAGATCACATCATTATGAGAATGATGTGATGGACAAGACCCAATCCTAAGCATAGCACAAGATCGTGTAGTTCGTTTGCTAAAGCTTTTCTAATGTCAAGTATCAGTTCCTTAGACCATGAGATTGTGTAACTCCCGGATACCGTAGGAGTGCTTTGGGTGTACCAAACGTCACAACGTTACTGGGTGACTATAAAGGTGCACTACAGGTATCTCCGAAAGTATCTGTTGGGTTGGCACGAATCGAGACTGTGATTTGTCACTCCGTATGACGGATAGGTATCTCTGGGCCCACTCAGTAATGCATCATCATAATGAGCTCATTGTGACTAAGTGGTTAGTCACGGGATCATGCATTATGTAACGAGTAAAGTGACTTGTCGGTAACGAGATTGAACGAGGTGTTGGGATACCGACAACTGAATCTCGGGCAAGTAACGTACCGATTGATAAAGGGAATTGTATACGGGATTACCTGAATCCTCGACACTGTGGTTCATCAGATGAGATCATCGTGGAACACGTGGGAGCCAACATGGGTATCCAGATCCCGCTGTTGGTTATTGGCCGAAGAACTGTCTCGGTCATGTCTACGTGATTCCCGAACCCGTAGGGTTTACACACTTAAGGTTCGATGACGCTAGGGTTATTAGGAAGAGATTTGTCTCTGAAAGTGTCTGTTGGGTTGACACAAATCGAGACTGGGATTTGTCACTCCGTAAGACGGAGAGGTATCTCTGGGCCCACTCGGTAATGCATCATCATAATGAGCTCAAAGTGACCAAGTGTTTGGTCACGGGATCATGCATTACGGTACGAGTAAAGTGACTTGCCGGTAACGAGATTGAACGAGGTATTAGGATACCGAAGATCGAATCTCGGGCAAGTAACGTACCGATTGACAAAGGGAATTGTATACGGGGTTGCTTGAATCCTCGACATCGTGGTTTATCCGATGAGATCATCGAGGAGCATGTGGGAGCCAACATGGGTATCCATATCCCGCTGTTGGTTATTGACCGGAGAGGCGTCTCGGTCATGTCTGCATGTCTCCCGAACCCATAGGTTCTACACACTTAAGGTTCGGTGACACTAGGGTTGTAGAAGATATGAGTATGCAGTAAACCGAAAGTTGTTCGGAGTCCCGGATGAGATCCCGGACGTCACAAGGAGTTCCGGAATGGTCCGGAGGTAAAGAATTATATATGGGAAGTCAGGTTTCGGCCATCGGGAAAGTTTCGGGGTCACCGGTATTGTACCGGGACCACCGGAAGAGTCCCGGGGGTCCACCGGGTGGGGCCACCTATCCCGGAGGGCCCCATGGGCTGAAGTGGGAGGGGAACCAGCCCCTGGTGGGCTGGTGCGCCCCCCTTGGGCCCCCCCTGCGCCTAGGGTTGGGAAACCCTAGGGGTGGGGGCGCCTCCACCTGGCTTGAGGGGCAAGCCACCCCCCTGGCCGCCGCCCCCCTTGGAGATCCCATCTCCTAGGGCCGACGCCCCCCCTAGGGGCCCTATATAAAGAGGGGGGAGGGAGGGCAGCCACACCTATGCTCTTGGCGCCTCCCTCTCCCTCTGCTACACCTCTCCCTCTCACAGACGCTTGGCGAAGCCCTGCCGAGATCGCTGCTGCATCCACCACCACGCCGTCGTGCTGCTGGATCTCCATCAACCTCTCCTTCCCCCTTGCTGAATCAAGAAGGAGGAGACGTCTTCCCCAACCGTACGTGTATTGAACGCGGAGGTGCTGTCCATTCAGCACTTGGATCATCGGTGATTTGGATCACGACGAGTACGACTCCCTCAACCCCGTTCTCTTGAACGCTTCCGCTCGATCTACAAGGGTATGTAGATGCACTCCTCTCTCTCGTTGCTAGATAAGCTCATAGATTGATCTTGGTGAAACCATAGAATTTTTTTTATTTTCTGTAACGTTCCCCAACAAAAAAAACTAGCTGCACGGGACTTGTCGCCAGTGCGAGCGCTCGATCAAAATCAATCCGACGGCTACGCAGGCAGCGGATGTTGTGGGTGCATCAGCCGGCTGAAGATTAGAATTTTCCAAAACATAATGACGATGAATCCGACTAAAACAATGCGTACTTTAGACGATGAACCCGACGAAAATAATGCTTGCTTTATTAGTAGAGAGATAATAAAGATACGCGTGCCTACGTCCCTCGACGTGTTGTTTTCGGTCGGCGGCCACCGCGCGCTTCGTCGGCCGGAACCCGACAGGATAGAAAAAAAAAATAGGGGAAAGGCGGCCGCTATTCGTTCTCCACAGCAGTCAGCCGGGCATGCAATTCCTACCTTCCACGCCTGGTGAAATGAGCACACGACGAAGCCTCCCTCAAAGAATCGATTCACTCGGGGCCGCACCGTCCTTGAAAAAGAACCCATGCGCCCGTCACGGTTTGTTCCCGCGTACCGAAAGCAGTTCCTTTCGGTTCACCTCCCGACCGTATTGAGTCAGCACAACAGTCCCCGACGGGCGGGTCAACGTTCCCGGTGGCCCCACGGCCTCGGTCTCACCGCAGCCGGGAAGCTTCCCCGACCTCACGCTGCCTGCCGAGTCAGCGCGTTGCCCTCGTCCACACCACGCCGCCGACTCCAAGGCCCAAGCCGCAGGCAGGAGCAGGACCATTCCAGAACGCGTGGTCGCGCGTCACGGCTGAGCATCTCTCGTGCCCTCCGCCACAAGATTTCCAACCCCCTCTCCCTCCTAGCTGACACGACAGAACCATTCCTGTCTCCCCGCCCCCGCCTATAAAGCCCCGGCCTCCCGTTCCTCCTCTCCGGCGACCACAAGAAGCAAGACTTTGTCCCTACGCACGCACGCACACAAAGCATCCATTCGTCCCTCGGTTCCTAAGTCAGCAGAGTTTGTTCGTGTTAGTTGATCGATCGACGGTCGTTCCTTTCGTCGCCGACATGCAGCGGAGCAACTCGTTCGGGACGTCGTGGGCGGACCAGTGGGACACCGGCGCCGACCCGAGCCCGCGGGCGCGCGGCGGCAACGGCGACGGCAAGAAGGGCGGCGTGGAGAAGACCAAGGCGGCCGCGGCCACCGGGCTGAAGAAGGTCAAGGCCGGCACCGCGCAGGGGTTCCAGTGGATCAAGGACAAGTACCAGAAGAAGAGCGCCGGCAAGAACGGCAAGCAGGGGGGCGGCTCCGAGGTGGCGGCCGGGTACTGACCGATGATCCGAGACGTTTCCTTCGTGCGTGTGGATATATATGGAGTACTAGTCATGGACCGATGATGTTCTTGTTTTAGTGTTGCGGCTACGGACTGCTTAGCTTGCTCTGTTTTTAGCCTTTCTCATCATGTACATAAATGAAGGATTTGATTTTTGTTCTGGTTCTTCATATTTGATCACTGTTTCAGACTTGCTTCTGATTGGTGCTGTGATTAACTACCGTACCGCTTAAAATTGATCCTTGATTCATCTCCAGCAAACTATAAAAGCACCGCTTAGAAGCGGACATGGAGTTCCTGCTCCCGGTGCACATAGAAACTAAAAAAGAACCCCGACGGTAAACCCTGAAAAATGTGCACCCGGATGAACGGCAAACTCCGAAAAAATAGAAGAAAATAAAAATAAAAATGCTGAATCTTTTGTCATAAATATCAATGAGTGGTTGACCTGCGTGCAAATTTTTGTGATGAAATCATATTCATGGAGATCTGACAAAAAAGTCTATGCTCCTAAAAGACATTTTTTAAAAGCATTTTGCAGCACTGATTTTGTTATTTTTTCAAGACCTCCACAATTTTTTTTTCACAAATAGTTTGAATTGCTTACCACATGTGTCATGTGGTAGACCTCCACAAATATGATTGAATCACCAAAATTTGCATGCGGATAGAGAACCAAGCAATGTTTTTTTGTCAAAAACATTTGTTTGAATTAATTTGTTAGATTTTACTGTCATAGCAGAAGTATTTGAGTTTGAGATTAGAAGGACACTTTTGGGAGGCTATTTAGAGGCACCATGGATCAACTTTTGGTCACCTTCTCCAACATACTATCTTTACATCACCTCTATTTTTTTCTGCACACGTGGTACCATGTGGAGGCCCACCCGTTAGTGGGTCACTTCTTTTGCTTCCACTCCTTTGACATTGGAGCTAGCTGGCCTCCGCTGCCAATCATTGTCTACTGGAGACCCGCGTGGCTGACGTGGGCAGTGGAGGTGC